ATCCCAACAAGGTTATGTCGCGATCCTGCGGGTGGGCTGGAAGGTGTCTCCGGGTCCCCATCCACCTGAGTCCCGTCCCCTGACTTCCGCAGAGCCCCAGGGCGCCGACGCCTTCCTGCCGGCCCTGACCGAGGAACTGATCTGGAGTCCGGACATTGGGGAGACGCAGCTAGACGTGGAGTTTCTGATGGAGCTCTTGGACCCGGACGAGCTACGGGGAGAAGGTGAGCCACACCTCCAGGACATTGGGGCCCAACAGGGGGCGCCCTTGGGCTGTCTGAGCCGCAGACAGCCTCCCCTTGCTGCAGCAAGGTAGGCCTGCAAACTGCCTCAGGGACCTGAGGCTCCTAGCGAAACCTCGAGTGCGGCGCTGACACCCTTATCCCCGCTTCCTGTCCCCAGCGGGGTACTACCTGACCACGTGGTTTGGTGCGCTGTATCACATTGCCCACTACGAGCCCGACGCAGGCCGTGCACCCCAGGGACTGAGCTCTGAGGCCCGTGCCTCGCTACGTCAGTGGCACCGCAGGCGGACTCTGCACGGACAGGACCATCCTGGAGCCCAGGTGACCGGCCATCCTGGCTGCAGGTGGGAGAAAGGGGACACCTCTTATCTTTCTGATCCAGTCCCCCCTCTCTCCTCATAGGCCCACCTGCCCTTTGAGGAACCATGGGCAATAGAGACTGTGGCAGGAACCAGTGATAATTAGGGGTCGCCAACCCCTCTGCTTCTCAAGCAAAATGCGGGAGGCACCTGCACCCTGCTCAGTATCTGGGACAGCATTGACCTGGCTCAGTTCATTTATGGGCAGCACCTACGAGGGTACACACCTCTGGAACTTTGAACTGGCTGTCCCTGCTTCTTGGGGTGCCCTTCCCTAGTATCCACTCTGTTCCTGCCTTCCTTCTATCCCCTCCCTCAGGTCTTTAGGCAAATGTCACCTCGGTGAGGCTCCCCCAGCCACTCCTGCCTAAAACTTCAACTCCTATCACTTGACTCTTCCTGTGGTAGGCAGAGTAACGCTCCCTCCCACCCCAAAGATATTCACAGTCTGACCCCCAGAATTTGTGAGTGTTGCTGGACATGGTAAAAGGGGCATCACAGGTATGACTACATCACGGATGGAAATGGGAAGGTTATCCTGGATTCTGGTGGACAGGATGCTTAGGGACGCAGGATGATCAGTCAGAGAAAGAGAAGTGATGTTTAAGCAGAGGTCGGGGTGATACAACCAGGAACCAAGGTATGCAGACACTCTGTAGAAACCGAAAACAAACAACAGGGGAAAAAGAACAAGGAATGGGTTTTTCCCCTGGAACCTCTGGGAACCTCACCCTTCGCTTTTTAGACCTCGAGACCCATTTAGGACTTCCGACCTCCAGAACTATAAGAGAAAACATTCGTGTGGGGACCAGCAGTTAGCATAATGGCTATGTCGCTGGACTCCCGTACAGTCGACCGTGTTTCAAGTCCTGGACCCTGTGGCTTAAGCTCACGCCGGGTGCGTGTGCGTGCGTGCCCAAGATCCCAAGAGGAGAATGGAGGAGAAGGAATTGCTGCGTGGTCATCCCCCCGGGTGGTGATTTCTCACTTTCTATCTCTCTGTCTCTGTCTTTCTGGCAAGCACATGCGCCCTATAGCAAAAACCTCTAAAAAAAAAAAATCTTTGTGTGTGTGTGTGTTTAACTATAAGATAATAAATCTGTATTTTTAAAAGCCACCAAGAGTGTAGTAATTCATTACAGCAGCAATAAAAATGCATATATGGGCCAGCAGGTGGCCCAGTGGTTAAGGTGTTGGAATTCCCACATAACTGGCTGCAGTTCGAGTCGCAGACCTGGTGGCTTGCTTTCTCACTCTTCCTCTTTCTCTCTCTGCTTTCTCTGGCAAAACTCATGTGAAAAAATAATAATGAAATAAATAATTCTTTTAAAAAATGAGTATACTCCCTCGCCTTAATCTTTATTTTTTCCATAGAATTGATCACTTCCTAACATATTATACACTATACTTATTGTTTCAATTGTCCATACTTCTCCCCAGCACTATGCAATAGAAATACAGTGATAGGTACATACATAATTTAAACTTTTCTGACACACAGCCAGCCCCACTGTTCAGCAATTAGCTGCTATGCAGAGAAAGTTGATCCCATGTAGCTGAGCAGAAGTTCAAATCCTGGCCCAGTAGGCACACCAGTGTCCAGGACCCTGATGGGATGGAGACTTGAAGGAGAAAGGATTGCAGCATTGGACCAGCCAGTGGCATGGTGGTTGAGGAAGTTGAATCCCATATGGCTGACTGCCTGGTTCAAGTCCTAGACCTGGCAGTTTGAGAAACACACCAGATATATGAGACACATGTGTGTGTGTGTGTGTGCCCAAAATCCTTTTCTTTTTTTTTTTTTTTTTTTTTTTTTTTGTAGAGAAGTTTTTGCTATAGGGTGTGTAAACTTGCTGGAGAGACAGACAGAAACAGAGACAGAAAGTGAGAAATCACCCCCCAGAGGGGATGGCCATACCTCAATCCCTTCTCCACTCTCTTGCGATTTTGGGCATGCATGCACACACTCTCGATATGAGTTTTAAGCTGCCGGGTCCAGGACTCAAACCATGGTTGACTACATGGGAGTCCAGCAATGTAACCATTATGCCATCTGTTGATGTCCCCAAATCTTTTTTTAAAAGAATATTGAGACCAGCATATGGCATAATGGCTATGTTGCTGGACTCCCATATAGTCAACTGCAGTTCAAATCCTGGACCTGGTGCCTTAAACTCACGCTGGGCACGTGTGCATGCGTGCCCAAGGTCCCAAGAGGAGAATGGAGGAGAAAGGATTGCAGCATGACCATCCCCCCCGGGGAGTGATTTCTCGTTTTGTTTCTCTGCCTGTCTCTGTCTATCTGGCGAGAGCACGCACCCTATAGCGAAAACCTCTCCAAAAAAAAGAAAAAGAAAGTCAGGTTAAATGTGCATCTGAGGTGGGCCTGGCCTTGCTCCTTTAATTGAAGCTCCTCTGCTTCTCAGTTTCCATAGACTGAGTGCCTAGACAGGCCTAGGTGCACAGTAATGAAACATCTGAATACTTTTAGGGTCATCAAAAACCTCAACCACCACCGAACTGCTCCAGGAAGGGAACAACTCATCTTCATAAATCTGAATTCAAATCTCTTTCTGTGGATACCACATTGCAAAACACAGGAGTAGAGAAGAAATTGGCATAGAAGTACCTCACAGTAAAGTGAAACATACGAAATCGCCCTTGCAGAAACTTCCAACAAATTACCCAAATGTGAATATACCACCAAGTGACTAAAAATCAGAGAAGAGAGACTGCAAAGTGAGCAGCAGGGAGAAAGACAGAGAGCAGGACTCATCTCCCACACACCTCTGAAACCCTCGCCCCAGATGCACCTGTTCTTTAGAAACTGGGAGACCTTTGTAATATCCAGTTCCATCAACAAAGTGCAGGTTTCTTGGTGAACATCAGGGAAATGAAACTGCAGAGATATTGCAGATCATCTCCTGCATACCTCTAATGTTCAGAATTAACTCCAAGAAAGTAGGAAGAAATTTCTCCATCAGACAACCAGAAACCACCGCAGAGGCATAAGAAATATGAGAAACCAAGAAAATATCTCTCCTCCAAGGGAAAAGAAGAGCCCTTCATCATCCACAGATAATACAATGGAGCTCATGGAAATGTCAGATAAAGAATTTAGAATATTCATGGTCACAAAGCTAACAGAGATGCAAGAGAAGGGAGACAATGAAGTCCAGATGAGGCAGTAGAGACGAGTTCCAGGAGATGAGGAAGTTCTTGCTCAATCTCAAAGAGGAAATGCACACCATAAAAAAGAATTGAATGGAGGCCGGCAGGTGGTGGGGTGGTGGAAGGCGTTGGACTTCCACATGGCTGACTGCAGTTTATATCCCGGACCTGGTGGCTTGCTTTCTCACTTTATCTCTCTCTCACGGTCTCACTTTGTCCCTCTCTGGTCAAATTAAAATAAATAAATAAATGAAGTTAAATAAAATAATTCTTAAAAAAAAAAAGAAGAAGAAGAAGAAGAATCGGGACTAGCAGATGGTGTAATGGCTATGTCGCTGGACTCCCATGTAGTTGACCGCGGTTCGAGTCCCGGACCTGGTGGCTTAAACTCACGCCAGGCACGTGTGCGTACAAAAAAAAAAAAAAAAGTATCAAACAGAACTGTTAGAGATTAAGGCCATAAGACAGAAAGCAAAACCTTCCTTGTAAGTATTAAAAGCAGATTAGATCATGCATAAGATCAAATTTCAGGTGTAGAAGATAGAACCTCTGGCCTAGAAAAATTCACCAAAAAGACTGAAAAAATAACCCAAAAATATGAGAATAATATACCAATAATACTAGATGCCCAAATATCCAGATAATCAGTATCCCAGAAGGTGAAAAACTAAGAGCATTGATAATCTATTCCATGAAATCCTAGAAGAAAACTTTCCAAACGTAGGGAGGCATTTAAATATCCAGACCTAAGAAATACAAAGGACCCCACAAGAAGATCTTCTTCAAGAAACATCAAAGCCAGATTAACCAAAAACAGACAAAGACAAAATACTAAAATTAGCAAGAGAGAAACATCAAGTTACTTTCAAAGCATATCCCATCAGGCTAACATTGACCTCTCATTAGAAACAATGCAAGCAAGGAAAGAATGGGAAAATGTATTCAAAGTGTTAAATGAAAAACAGTTTCAACCTAGAATACTATATCTGGCAAGATTATCCTTCAGATGGGAAGAAAAGCCTGAAACATTCTCAGATAAACAAACCCTGAAAGAATTTACCAACATCAGACCAGCTCTTCAAGAACTTCTGAAGGGAGCACTACACCAGGAAAACTAAAGACAAACAGAAAGAAATAAAAGAACAAAAAAATAACCAAGAAAATGGCCAACTTAATGGTAGGGACAAGTCTGGAAATATCAATAATAATGTTGAATGTTAACTTCCAGGATTTAAATAGAAAGATCAGACCACAGTAAAACTGGAAATTCAACAAAAGAGAGATTAATTACATGAGACTGAACTGGTGAAATAGAATTCTATGACTTTAGTTTTGACTAAAACATTACTGATTTTCTTCCATGCTTTGTCTTCCAGATTTAAGGATTTTTTGTTTTGAGTTGTTGATAGGTCCAGCAATTTGTTGAATATTTTTTTAAGTTGAGACATTTTTTAAATTGAAACCAGCAGTTAGCGTAATGGCTATGTCGCTGAACTCCCATGTAGTCGACCGTGGTTCGAGTCCCGGACCTGGTGGCTTAAAACTCACGCCGGGCGTGTGTGTGTGCGTGCCCAAGATCCCAGGAGGAGAATGGAGGAGAAGGGATTGCGGCGTGGCCATCCCCCCTGGGGGATGATTTCTCGCTTTTTGTCTCTCTGTCTATGTCTGTCTGGCAAGTGCACACACCCTATAGCAAAAACCGCTCCAATCAATCAATAAATAAATAAATAAATTGAAACATAAACTTTTCTCCCTTTCTGACCCCTCTGCAATTGAAAAATATTTGTGAGCATTCTTATTTTGTGGCAGAATGGTTATTTGGATAAGTTCAACAATATAGTAGTATCTGTTGCCTTGCATCAGAAATTGAGTTTTTAAAAAGTATTTATTTATTTAATTTCAGTTGTTATTATTATTTTAATTTGACCGGAGAAAGACAGAGAGAAAGGGAAAGTGAGAAAGCAAGCCACCAGGTCCAGGACTTGATCTATGGTCGCTCATGTGGCAATCTAGTGCCTTTAACCACACCTCCCGCTGGGCCCCCCTGAAATTGAATTCTTATGAGGCTTTGTGCAAATAACAGACCAAATTGAGACTAAACTTTTTTTTTTTTTTTTTTTTTTATAAGTTAGTTTATGCCTCTCTTTAGTAAAAGGGGGAATGGAGAGAGAAAAAAATGTTTTGGAAGAAAATTACAGTGCACTTGTCACTAGAGCTTAGCTTTGTCCATATTTTTAGTTTAATTAAGATCTTTTGTGGGAACCAGCAGTTAGCGTAATGGCTATGTTGCTGGACTCCCATGTAGTCCACTGTGGTTCGAGCCCTGGACCCTGTGGCTTAAACTCATGTCGGGTGTGTGTGTGTGCATCCCCAGGATCCCAAGAGGAGAATGGAGGAGAGGGGATTGCGGCGTGGCCATCCCCCTTGGGGAGTGATTTCTTGCTCTCTGTCTCTTTGTCTCTCTCTGTCTTTCTGGCGAGCACTCACGCCCTATAGCAAAAACCTCTCAAAAAAAAAAATAAAATCTTTTGTGAATCAATAAAATGTGGGGAAAAAAAGGTTTAGTATGGAATGGAGGGAAGAAAAGGGGAAGGAAAAAAAAAAACAAAATTACTTTTAATTGACAAAAAAATAGAAGCTATTTGCTAATGATAATATATAGTAATATCTTTGTCTTGACTGATATGCAAGGTATTTGGACTGGAAAAAAGAATTGCTGTCCACTGCAAAGATATATGTGGTTAAATGTAAATAAGTAAAAAAGAATAAAAATTTAAAAAGAAAGAAAGTCAGGCTAAAGAACAACATGAACAGGGGCAGGTGGAGTGGTGGTTGAGGGCAGTGGACTCCTTTATGGCCACCTGCAGTTCACGTCCTGGACCTGGCAGCTTGCTTTCTCACTTTCCCTCTCTCTCTTTCACACTCTCACCCTGTCCCTCTCTGATCAAATTTAAATAAATAAAGTTTTAAGTTTTAAGCAAAGTTCCTTAGCATTTCATTGAGTTAGTAAAGTTAGAGCTGCTTTTCTTTTCTTTTCTTCTTCTTCTTTTTTTTTTTTGACTCTGAAACCTTTTCTAATTTTAAATATATCCTAACATGTTTATCATGACTCTCTGTCCTCTTCAGGTTCAAACTGGTCGTCCTTGGAATGGACACGGAGGCAGCCGTCAACCCCGTACGTATGGTGATGCATGGTTCTGCACGGGGTCGGGCATGTAGGGTGGTCCTTGGAAAGGAGGGGGCCCTTTGCCAAACATGTCAACCTGTTCCTTTTTTTTTTTTTTTTTTTTTTTTTGAGAGGTTTTTGCTATAGGGCACATGCGCTCGCCAGAGAGACAGAAAGCAAGAAATCACCACCCGGGGGGGATGGCCATGCTGCAATCCCTTCCCCATTCTCCTCTCGGGATCTTGAGCACGCATGCACACACGCCCAGCATGAGTTTTAAGCCACCAGTCCGGGACTCAAACTGTGGCTGACGGTATGAGAGTTCAGCAACATGGCAGTTACACTAACTGCTGGTCCCCACTTGTTCCTGTTTTGGGCCCTCAGGAGGGATCATGTAGTTGGTCTTCATGGGAAAGGCATGACGTTCTTTTTATTTATTTATTTTTTTTTGGAAGACCCAGATGGGGGTTTGTGGCTTTATTTAGAAACAAACAACGTGCACATGAGCCTGTACTCGTTTTCTTCACTGCGCAGCCTGGCTGGGATTGGTGACTCTGATGGCCGGCCGGGCTGCCCTCTCCACGATGGCCTCGCGGTTCTTGGAGGAGACGTCGTGGACGATCCCAGTAAGACTTATTGCACATCAGCACTTCCAGCTCCTTGACGTTGTGGACCAGGAACTTCCGGAAGCCACCGGGCAGCAAGTGCTTCGTTTTCTCGTTACTGCGGTAACCGATGCTGGCCATCAAGATCTGGCCCTTGAATCTTCCTCTGCACCCTGTTGTCAATCCCTCTGGGTTTCCGCCAGTTGCGCTTAATTTTGACATATCGGTCTGACCGGTGCCCGATGAACTTCTTGGTCCTCTTTTTGACGACCTTGGGTTTCACGAGGGGCCTGAGGGAGGCCATTGACGCCGGGTAAGAGATGCCGCCACCCCCACAGCGCCGAGGAAGAGAGAAGGAAGCGGAAAGGCATGACGTTCTGATTCTCCTCCTTGTGGGGTGCGGTCCATGTCAGGTCCTCTGGGCACTGGGTTCTGCAGCCAGGGTCCCTCGAGCATCCACTGGCTGTGCGTTGCTGCCAGCCTACCCTTCAAGTAGGTGATCTCCCGGGTCTTCTCCGCCACTGCCCTCTCCATAGCATGAGCCCTGAGCCAGTCGTGATGAGCCTTCTTGGAAATGATGATCTCGTCTTGGAAGGCGGTCCCTTTTCTCTGCATTTCTTCAGTTCTTTTCATTAAGTTCTGGATTTTTCCAGGAGCCAACTGACGTTTCTCCTCTGCCAGTGATAGCTCTATTTCTTTCTCTCTGAGCGGGTGTTCTTTCATTAACAGCTTCTCTCCCGTGGCCCTCTGAGATCTTCTGTAGGTTTCACAAAGAGTGTTTAATTTCATTTTTAGCGTTTCAAATTCAGCAGCCTGTGCTGCTTTCATAGACCTCACTGAATTGCAGGTCCTTTTCCCTTTCTTTCAGGTTATGCGTAGTGGACCTCAAGACTCTGAGCTTTGGATCCTCACGTTGGTCATTTATATTTCCTGACTCTGAAAATCCTGAGGTGTCTGTTGAAGGGCCATCTTCAAAGGTCTGTGTAGACTTTTCTTCCAAGAGCAAGCCTGAAGTTTTGACATTTCCAACCCTCTTGGTTTGCAACTGAGAATGTTTATTTTGAATGATGTTGTTCAAAGCTCCTATAGTTTTTTCACGTTTTGAAATTATCCTTCAATTTGCATGCCTCACTGAAGTGATACGCTTAGTTTCTCGAAGGCCTTTTTTTTTGATTCAGTGATCTTTTGTTTCCAAAGAGTTCTTTTTTCCAAAAGTTCTCTGTGTTCCTTTGTAAAATCGTCAATGTGTTCAAATATTTGTCGTAAACTAATTTCATACATGTGACACTTTACAAGAAGGAGAATTATCCAGATGAATATGAAAATTGCAGACATCCCCAAGTAGGCAGCAATAATGACATGCTTCCAAGGAATTCTAAGACAATCAGGAGCAAGCTTTTCCTTCCCTGGGTCCTCGGGAGGGATGAAGCTGCTGTTTGCCTTGGGCACTGCAGAAAGTCCTGTGTCTGCTCCCCACAGAGTGACGTCCATGCCCTGTGTTCCCAGCACTGGCCTCTGGAGCCTGTGTCCCTCTGGCATCCTCTGACTGTGCACTGTCACCAACCTGTACTCCAAGTATGAGGCCTCCCTGGGCTGCGTTGTCACTGCCCCCCTCTACAGCAGGAACCCTAAGCCAGTGGTCCTGAGCCATTTTCTCATAGATGGTCTTCTGATGTAGGAAGATGGTCTCTATTCTTTTCACCTCTTCTTGCATTTCTGCAATTCTTTTCTGTAAATTCTTTATTTCGTTAGAAGAAAGCTTTAAGATCTCCCCTGTCTGCAAGAGCTCCTTCCCTTTTTCCATCCAGTCACTACATTTCATTCGTGGCCTTTCATCTATGGGCTTCCTCTGTTGGGCAATTTCATAAAAATTGTCTACTTTGATGTTCCCAGTCTCGAATTCAGCTTTTGCTGCCTTCACAGACTTCAGTTTCTAACAGATGGCTTCATGTTCCTTTTTCCTTTCTTCTAGTGTATGTATAGTGGGCCTCAGGGAGCTCATCTTTGAATCCTTAAGATAGTCATTTATATCTCCTGACTTAAATTTACATGATTTATTATAGAGATGATTGGCCTCTTGGAGACATCTCTTCTGATTCCAAGCAGTTTTTCTAGAATTTCTTTGTTCTCATTCTTCACATTAATAATTATCTCAGATATTTCTTGTAACTTAACTTTATACACGTGAGGATTTGTATTCACTTCTGTGTCTTGCAGACAGCTGAAAAGGACAGGCCAGAAGAGCAGAGTCCACATATCCATGTTGGTCCCTGTAGGGTCCAGGAGTAGCCAAAGAGGAGGGGATGGGCTAAGAGTGCAGGGGTAATGGGGAGGCATAGGATGGGTTGGGGTAGGGGAAAGAAGGGGGAAGACTGCTTTTCTTGAAATGAAAAAATATTTTAAAATGCCTATTTAATGACCATAATAAGTAAGCTATATAGCATCAGCTAGGTGCTACCTTATAATATGTTCATTCTACTCAGAGTTTCACGCCTAAAGTCAGACATGTATTCACAGATATGTAATACCAGCTGAACTTGCTATTGAAAGTTAGATTATTGGGCCAGCAGGTGGCATGGTGGTTAAGGTGCTGGAATTCCCACATGGCTGACCATGGTTTGAGTCCCAGACCTGGCAGCTTGCTTTCTCACTCTCCCTCTCTCTCTGTCTTTCTCTGGCAAACCTCATGTGAAAAATAATATTAACAATAATAATAATAAATAAATAATTATTTAAAAAAAGAAAGAAAGTTAGATTATTTAAGAAATTTTGTGTCCTCTTCTCGTTAGCGGCCGGAGGTGATCTTTGAAAATGGTTCGCTATTCACTTGACCCAGAGAACCCCACAAAGTCATGTAAGTCAAGTGGTTCAAATCTTCGTGTTCACTTTAAGGATACTCGTGAAATTGCCCAGGTCATCAAGGGTATGCATATCCGAAAAGCCACCAAGTATCTGAAGGATGTCACTTTACAGAAGCCGTGTGTGCCATTCCGTCGTTACAATGGTGGAGTTGGTAGATGTGCCCAGGCCAAACAGTGGGGCTGGACACAAGGTCGGTGGCCCAAAAAGAGTGCTGAATTTTTGCTGCACATGCTTAAAAATGCAGAGAGAGATGCTGAACTTAAGGGGTTAGATGTGGATTCTCTGGTCATTGAGCACATTCAGGTGAACAAGGCACCAAAGATGCACCGTCATACGTACAGAGCTCATGGATGGATTAACCCATACATGAGCTCCCCCTGCCACATCGAGATGATCCTCACTGAAAAGGAGCAAATTGTTCCTAAACCGGAAGAGGAAGTTGCACAGAAGAAAAAGATATCCCAGAAGAAACTGAAGAAACAAAAACTTATGGCATAGCGGGACCAGCAGTTAGCGTAATGGCTATGTCGACCGCAGTTCAAGTCCCGGACCTGGTGGCTTAAACTCACGCCAGGCGCGTGTGTGTGTGTGCCCAAGATCCCAAGAGGAGAATGGAGGAGAAGGGATTGTGGCGTGGCCGTCCCCCCTGGGGGGTGATTTCTCGCTTTCTGTCTCTCTGTCTCTCTC